AGGGAAAGAAATGGAGATGTCTTATGCCAGTTAGACTTTGGGAAATCTTTCTCTTTGGACATTAGTACCCTGTGCATCAGACTTTAAAGTTGTCCTTGTTTTGGTTTTGGTTCTGGTACTGTTGATACCTTCAACTGGAAGTTTTTCTGGAAATACAAATATAGAGTCAGTGTGTGTGTGAAAGAAAGTGAAAGAGAAAGGAAAGAATTTTAAGGACTGTAATGTAGAAGTAATGTCTTCTTTTTTTTTTTTTTAATTTGAGTCTGCTTATGGCATCCTTCATTCTAACTCACACTAAGGCTGTCATTCTCCAGTTGTTGTTGTGCTCTGCAAAGCTGATGCCATACCTGCAGTAAGAAAGATGACACTGTACTTTTGACCTGTTACAGCGTGAAAATTATCCACTTGACTTTGCATACTTTTTTCTGGAGAAAGCAGAAAGATTCCATAATATTCATATTTCATAGAAAGTGTGGTGTAGAATTGCCTGCAGATCTCTAGTGTGAAAGGTATGTATGTCACCGTGGAAGTCTTTGAAAAAATAAATCTCTTTCTCAGAATGCTAATTCTGTACTACAGAGGCCTGCATTGGCTTTCTGGAGCTACTTGGTAGGACAATAAAGATTTGAAAGTGGCTGCCAGCTGAAATTTGAGTCTCACAAAGCATGTAATTTAGTATGCATTGGTACTATCTTTAGGCTCCCAAAACATTCCTTAATGAAATATCTATGTTCCTGTGAAAATCGGGTGTTATTTTTGCTTCCTTACAATCATCCCCACTTGAAGCCAGTTTCTTAAAAGGCCACGTGGTCTTTGCTGTAACCCGTATCACTGTGTGCCATCAAAACTTGTCAGTAGGTGCTTACCCATAGGCATGCTCGTTGGAGTTTTTCATGCACCAGGCAGAAGGGGTAGCTGGGGTAGCTGGGCCCTAGTGAGCATTGAACTCTGTCCTCCGTGGCATTCCCATGGCAAAGTGGAAAAATCTGTTCTAGTTAAAGGTACTCTAAGGTGATCTGAAAATCTTGTTAAAGAGCCATGCTGAAAGACAAGCTGTGAGCAGTTCACTACTGGCTCTGCAACAATGAGTCCTGAGCTCAGTACTGATCAACATAGTCATTAGTAGACTGGTAGTAGCCATCTAACAGATGGGACAGGATTGCATACTCAAAAACGTGAAGTTTGTGGAGTGCTGTCTGAAGATTCAAGAGTAGAAAAATGCACTAGATAGACTTGAGCTTACTTAGGTATAGATGTTCTGATACAGTTTCAGTTTCTTTTTCATAGAATCATAAAGGTTGGAAAAGACCTCTAAGATCATCAAGTCCAACCACCACCCAACACTACCATGACCATGGCTCCAAGTGCCACATCTACACATTCTTTTAACACCTCCAGTGATGGTGACTCCACCACCTCCCTGTTCCAATGCCTCACTACTACTTCAGTAAAGAAATTTTTCGTAATATGCAATCAGAGCCTCCCATTGTGCAACTTGAGTCCATTTCCCCTTGTCCTATTGCTAGTAACCTGGGAGAAGAGACAAACACCCACATCCCTAAAGCCTCCTTTCAGGTAGTTGTAGAGAGCAATAAGGTCTCCTCTCAGCCTCCTCTTCTCCAGACTAAACAATCCCAGGTCCTTCAGCCACTCTCATAAGACGTGTTCCCCAGATCCTCTACCAGCTTTGTTACCCTCTCTGGACCTGCTCCATCACCTCACTGTCTTCCTTCTACTGTGGTGCCCAAAACTGAACACAGTATTCACGTTGTGGCCTCACCAGTGCCAAGTACAGGGGCACAATCACTTCCCTAGTGCTGGCCACACTGTTTCTGATCCAGGCCAGGATGCCCTTGGCTGTCCTGGCCACCTGGGCACACTGCTGGCTCATGTTCAGTTGGCTGTCCACCAACAGCCCCAGGTCCCTTTCTGCCTGGCAGCCTTCCAACCACTCCTCCCCAAGCCTGGAGCCTTGCCTGGGGTTGTTGTCACCCGAGTGCAGGACCCAGCACTTGGCCTTGTTCAGCCTCATCCAACTGACTTCAGTCCATTGAGTCAGCCTGTCCAGATCCCTCTGCAGAGCCTCCCAATGCTTGACCAGATCAACACGCCCGCTCAGTTTGGTGTCAGCTGTGAACTTACTGAGGGTGCATTTGATTCCCTCCTCCAGATCATCGATAAAGATCTTAAACAAGACTGGCCCCAGAACTGACCCCTGGGGAGCACCGCTTATGACTGGCTGCCAGCCAGATTTAACTCCGTTCCCCACAACTCTCTGGGCTCGGCCAGCCAGCCACTTTTAACCCAGCCAAGAGTCCACCTGTCTAGGCCATGATCCGACAGCTTCTCCAGCAGAGTGCTGTGGGAGATGGGGTCAAAGGCCTTCCTGAAGTCCATTTTGTTCAATTATCGCATAAACACATTTTTATGTTTGGGAAAATCTGCCCTTCATTGAAGATGTCACTTTGTAGGACACAAACCAGTAAGGTTCCCAGACTGTCCTGAAATTAGTTGGTTTGGATACCCTGGAGTTATTTCATTGCAACATACTTTCTCATAGGCTGATGGCAGAGGAGCTGGAAAAGGCAATGGAGAATCTGAGCCTATTCATTTCTTGTAAACCCACATGAAAGACTGATAAAATGGACAAAAGAAATGAACAGTTGTTCTAAAAAGGAAAGTAACTGTTCCTGTAGTCCTGTGGGGGAGTCCATGTGAGTCATGACGGAAATCTGTGCACTCTGTATGGCCCAGGAGTCATCCTCTTTTTCTTGAGGTGATGAATTTGGAGAC